TATACTATCATTTTATAACTAAGCCCATGCATGTGATGGATGATATTGTGCATTGTAAATTCAAGTTTAATTGTATATGACACGCAAATGATAATAATGTTATATTTGAAAAAATATACCATAATCTTCTGTGTGTCATATGTCATTTTGACTATCTTTTCCAAGCCCTCTCTGTCTCTCTTCGTCGCATTCCAATCTGTCTCTCTCTCTCTCGCTCTGTCTTTGTCTATATACCTGTCTTTGTCTGTGTGCTTGTCTCTGTCTCTGTCTCAATATACCTCTCTATTGGCCGTTTTCTACATTTCCTTCTCTCCATGTCACCTATTCCTTTTTATTCTCGCATCCCCCCCCCCCCCTCTCTCTCTCTCTCTCTCTCTCTCTCTTCCTCTCTCTCTCTCTCTCTCTCTCTCTCTCTCTCTCTCTCTCTCTCTCCATTCCTTTCATGTTTCTGTACGTCTGTCTGTCTCCTCTTCCCCTTTTTCTCCGTCACATTCCATCTATCTACCCCACCCCTCCCTTTTCTTTATCTCTCTAATATATTATATATTCATCCAATTCTTCTTCTTCTCGCACTCAGCCCTCCCCTCTCTCTCTCCCCCTCTCTCATTCTCTCTCTCTCTCTCTCTCTCTCTCCCATCTCTCTCTCTCCATCTCTTCCCCTTTCTCTCTCTGTCTCTCTAGAGCTTGCAAATATCTGTTTCTTTGGGGGATGTGCATCGGGGATTCCTTTGACATCGCCTGTGCCTCTAAACTTTGTAAACTGCTAAAAAAAAAACGCCCCTCTGCCTCTGGTTCAATGCATGAAACCACACAAGCATTTAATGTGTATGAATAACAAATGAGCACCTTTCTTCTTTGTAGCCATCGGCCCGTCTACCCTCGCAGGTAAATTAACCATTGCGACTAATGCAGGGCTTCATGTATTCGGGAAAAGAGAAGGTCGTGAGAGCATTGGAAGAAAGCTTCTTCAGAATAAGATTATCCCTCTGATGTGTCGGCTCCATCCCCTGTTTCTGTTTGTCTGTCTTTCCGTTTGTCTGTTTGTCTGTCTACCCCCTCGCTCTCCCATCCCCTCTCTCTATCTATCTTGGACCACTTTGGTTTCAGTGTCATTGTCATTGACTGTCGACTGCGTTTTTATTTGTTGCTTGGTGGTTATGCTAATTTTCTTTTCCATCGATATTCTCCACCTTCATATCGTTTCTCTCTCTCTCTCTCTCTCTCTCTCTCTCTCTCTCTCTCTCTCTCTCTCTCTCTCTCTCTCTCTCAAGCTTTCTCTATATATCTCCCCCCCCCTCCTGCCACTCACCCCGTCTCTCCCTCCCCATCTCTATATCTATCTATCTCCCCCCCCCCCCACCTCTCGATCCTCTCTCCCTCTCTCTATTCATTTCCTTATTGATTGTTTGCTAATAGCAGGATCACACAATACCAATCGCTCACGCGTTACCAGACGATCTCTCGTGAGTGAAAGTGTCTATTATCATCTGCATTGCCTCCAGTCCGCCTGTTTACAACTCGTTGATTACTTTCTGGTGGTAGACGAGGGCTGGCGAACCATAATTACTAGCCTGCAACCAGATCTTGTCTCGTTTACGTTTCTGTAGCTATACATAGTACATTGGTAAGTAGGTCTACAATGTTTCATTGTCTGTTTGTTTGTTTATTATTTGCGTGTTTGTTGTTATATTCATAAGGTGACATTATACGAAAACTTGGTGCATCACATTATTATAAAGAGTTTGTCGTATAAATGAAATGTACCTTTCTGTTTTCGACGGAGCTTCATTGGACCATGGACCCTACTTATACACATTCTCACACTCGTTCTATTACTGTATGAGTGAACTCTAGATATAATCATTATGTCTAGAAATATTATATGGAGGCTTGTATGACATGAAGTCATATGACTTTCGTTACTATAGTCGGTGTCGACGAATACTATCATTTACGTGTGCTGCTCGCAAAAAAGTCGTAATCTCAATTATGATTTTTTTTTTCGGCTACTGAATGTTTTACACATGATAAAGGATTAAAAAAATATATATATATATAATACTACTACCACACCTACTACTACTTCTCATAAGTTCGTCTACTACTTCTACTATCACCACCACTATTATGTACTACTAATACTATACTATACTACTACTACTACTACTACTACTACTACTACTACTACTACTACTACTGCTGCTGCTACTACTGCTACAACTACTACTACTACTACTACTACTACTACTACTACAACAACAACTTGTCTACTATATACTGACACTACTACTAATACTACTACCACTGCTGCTGCTACTACTGCTACAACTGCTACTACTACTACTACTACTACTACTACTACTGCTGCTGCTGCTGCTGCTACTACTGCTACAACTGCTACTACTACTATTACTACTACTACTACTACTACTACTACTACTACTACTACTACTACTACTACTACTTGTCTACTACTATACTACTACTGAAACTACTACTACTACTACTACTATTACTACTACTACTACTACTACTATACTGATGTTGCTGCTACAGTGCTGCTGCTGCAACTGAATACAACGTTAACTGAAGGGGGGAAAAAGAATTAATTGATTGTCAGCAAACCATTTTTTAGATGAAAACTATCTGTAAACCGTGTTGCAAATAGACCATAATGTTTGTGTCACTTCGGGCTATGCTTCAGAACTTCTGTACAGTGGTACTTGGGGTCACCGGGTGCATGTGCCCCTCCCTTTGAGCTGAAAACAGGAGGGGGAATGAGGAGTGCTTGGACACATGAGAGAGAGAAAAAGAGAGAGGGAGAGAGAGAGAGAGAGAGAGAGAGAGAGAGAGAGTAGGAGAGAGAGTGGGATACAATGAGAAAGAGAGAGAGAGAGAGAGGGGTGGGGAGAAAGGGGGATGGGGAGTGGCAGAGAAAAAAGAAAAACGTGGCAATATAAGGAGCTATTTCGGTCTCTGTGACTACACTGTGCGTTGGGCCCCGCCCCTCAAAACTAAACTAAGGCTACGCCACTTTTCAGAGACCTTTTGAAGCTCACACTGCAGTGAAAGTTTCTCTCCAAGTTTTTAACATGGATTTACAAAGCTTCCACGGGACTCGTTTACATAATAAGCGTTTAAGTTTCTGGATAAAAATGTATCCCTTTACACGACACTGCATGGGAGACATATACTCGTTATTTATCCTCCTTCTCAAACGATCCCTTCTGTCCACACTTAGCCTTCATATGCTAAATAGAACAATTCTCAATCCCGCCCGCCCCCCCCCCATATGCAGTCAATTTCCACCCGAATCAATACCGAGTACAAGCCAAACAAAAAACGTTTATTGATCAGAAAACCCTTGGAATGTTTGCAGAGGGTCTAACCTCTAAAGCCTATACATTCAACGTTTTTTTTCTTCATAATTATACTATCATTAAACTCAGCATTAATTGAAAGTAATTGGTAAGTAAACGTGCTTTTTTCCTTGTAGTGCAGCGCAAAAAGGGCGATATCAACGAGCATAAATTTATTTCACTTTGTTTGAAAACGATTAATCGGAAATATTTAACGATTGAGGAATACCGTTTTCTGTAAGCGTTGTATTTGCCTGTTGCATTTCTGAGTAAATGAGTGCGTTTCGTAAACGAACTTCAAAGAAAAGAAGGCCTAATGAGCTATATTTTAAAAATATGTATGTTTGAAATATGATATAGAAATCAATAAATCAATAAATCAAATCAATACATCAAAAGCGGAGTGGAAAACAGGTTATGTATTAATTTTATCATCCCGTTCCCATTCCCTTCAATCAAAATCTCCGTTTCCAAAAGGGGGAGGGAGAGAGTGGGGTGGGGAAGGGGAGAGGGTGGGGAGAGGAGAGGGTGGGATGGCAATTGCCCCATAACATTTCATTTGCACATTATTCCGTAGCAAAAAAATTGGTTCATATCTGTTAACTTGTCCACCTCAATCGTTCCTTCGACCCCCTGTAACATGAACACGGCTTGTTTTGCCAATGAATCCTCTGCACTTTTGAGCAAGTTCACGAGAATGAATGAACAGACCTGCCAAATATTATGAAAGGATATTTTGTCAAAAATCAGTTCTACTATTCAGCCTCGCGCTAGGACAACAATCACCATTTTTCAGTCCTCGGCTACCCTAACCAGACCCCTTGCGTATATAATCCAGCCATGTTTCACCTACTTCTATGATTATTGCAGTGCATGTTCAAGAGAAGCCTTTCAAAGGGTTATTTTTTTCTTTGCCCTTTTTTGTTGTATTCTTTGCTGTGTCCTATATTATGCCCGCGAGTGTATGCAGAGAGCTTGCTTTTGTCGGTGGAACTATTCAATTATTTCACGGCTCGCTGGACGTTGGAGCGAAATATAACGAGTTGATTTGTCCAAAAGATAATTCCACTCTTTGCGAACACAAAACAAACTGTTTTTTCCGATCTCTATGTGCTCCGAGAGGTGTAATTATAATTTGATTTATAGATAGGAAGAGGACCGTTTACTTAGAGCAACTTAAAAGATGGTTTACTTTTTGGAAGAGGAGCTATTATTTTACAGACGAAATTCGGTGAATCCAGTTCGCGACCGGTGCTGTGTTTTGACCATGGTTTTGACTTTGAACGCGCACAAATTTTGACAATAGCGTACGTGACTCTATTGGTGGAATGCATTAGTGGACTTTTCATCCCAAATCCGACTTCTCGGATGACAGTTCAAAAGTTAGATGCGAGAGCTGATGACTCCTGACCCCAAATCGTGCTGGGTCTCGAGGAAAAAGCGTCCATTTCTATCAGATGTTCTTCCCAAGATGATATGCCGTTGGTGAGATTACGAGATCGTCTGCATAAACACTGCTGATAATCATGGTATTTTGAGAAATATGATCGCCATAGCAGCTTTGCATTAATTGAGAATTTCGAAGATTTCTGCCAGAGACATGCCATAGATTTTGCCAATAACATGCGTCGGAGAGATTTGTAATACAGGTCATTTGAGTTGGATTACTACTAAGAAGATTCACTATACCTCTTCAGATGTTTCGTTTAACGAATTCATATTAACTTCGAGTTTGAATGTGGAGTAGTATCACAGAAGAGATCGCAGCATGCATGTGACTGTCCAGTATATGAAACCGACGATTCGGTTAATTGACGCGCCGCACTGGAGCTGGTATATATTTCACTAGCATGCAAAGAGTTCTAGCAACTTGTCGTCTATATGCAGGTGTTGTTGTTTTCGTGCCCATGAACGAGGCATTGAACTCACTTTTGAGGGGTAATAACCCTAGCTTATAGGAGGGTGTAAGGATTGGGAGGGGTGCATTGCCATGGATATAGGCGTGGACATTAATCAAAATCACGGTAAGCGCAGAAGAGATAGTAGAACATTAATGACGTGCAATATCATATGAATATAAAAGACAATAACATGCGTTTAGCTTGTGTGATCGATACAAACCGGGAAACAAACGAAACTTAATAAAAGATTGTGATGTTGACGTGATAACATGATCCATGGTGATAACAATTCATATCGCTGATGCTAATGGTGGTGGTGCGGTTGTGATTATAATTGATTGTGGTGGTGATATGGTGGGCTGGTGAGTATGGTGGTAGTGGTGGTTGAGATGTTGATGGTAATGGTAAGGATGTTGATGACGATGGTTGTAAGGAAGATGGTGGTGGTGACACCGATGAATATGGTGGTCATGATGGTGGTATGTTTAAGGTGTAAGTTGTGTTGTTCGGTAGGACAAGCCATAATGTTTTCTCTACCTAGCAAAAACTAATGTATGCAACTCGGATTCCGACTATTGAAATACAATTATTTTTAATAGGTGAATTAAATATTTTGTAACATATGACACTTCAATAAGATGTATGCATTACATTTGATTATATTATGAAAATGGTCTATTGTGGTGATGGATCAAGTGGTACAGTTGATGATAGAATGATGAGTGATATACAATGCCTGATCCGAGATGAATCAATCTTGATCGAGTTGTGATTGTGAAAGTGCATTTTGCAAATCAAATGGCTCTACGCAGTACCTCATCCTTTATAATTGTAAGGACAAATAGACAACACTCTTATATCGCATAATGTGAACAGAAATAGCGAAAGCATGCTAAAATCCTCACAGACCTACACTAAAACCCTTGGGATGGCTCTATTACACGGAATATTGGATAATCTTGAATAGAAGTAACATTTTATATTCTGTAATTAGTCAATATACAGAGTAATAAAAGAAATGCGCAGTTCGTTAGAGGTGGGCTATTATATTTAGATTTGATTTGATTTGATTTGATTTGATTTATTTATTTCTGTTTGATTTTCTTTTTCTTTTGCATTTTTACAAATATATAACAAACAAATATTGCAAATTTACACATGTCAATAGAATATATGTAGGATAAAGTAAGGCTGGCTGTAACTAATCGAAAACATCAAACAGGAGGGTTGACAAAGTAAGCAAAGCTTGATAGCATGACTACCCTCAATGGATACATACTGATACAAATATGGAGGAAAAAAATATAGGTAAAAGGGGATAAAGAGAGAGAGAAAAGAAAGAGGGGATGCACATCAATATTCACAGACTTATGTGGTAGTTGGATGAAGAATATTATCGATACCCCCCCCCCCTCGAGGGGTGTAAACGCGGTGTATACGTTTAGATGGTGATTGTGTCATAATTCGGACTAAAATATTTTATCTTCGATTGGACAAGATTGATATTTTAGTGTAAAGAAATACAAGATGCACTTATCTATATATTACCACTTCATTCATGTAAAATAATGTATCTACAAAATTTGCGGATGTTCATTATCGGTTATAATTCATCACATATTTCATTTAATTCCTACAATTATTCAATCTGATTTTCGTCAGTAGAATGAAAGCCAACGATTACATGCAAACAAGAAGGACAGATATGTGGAGCATAACATTATGGGGCAGAAATCTATGGCGGGAAACCGCAAATGACTGACGTGTTGATTTGATAAATATCCAAAGAATAAAAATAACACATACATAATAGTCAATCACCAACTGCGTATGACTTCAACTGGAATATACGTTACTTCATGATATTTGAATGAAAAGCAGTCTGCCATTTTTTGGAGGGGGGGGGGGGGGCAGAAAAGGAACCTTAGATGTGATTCGTCAAATCAAGGGACAAGTGACCCTTTTTAAAACACAGTCTGGCATGCCTTAAATACAAAAAGAAAAATTGTGCCCTAAGTTTGTTCTTGTGCTTACAAATGTGTGCATTTGACCCCCAAAACACTTGAAAATGCCATAACTTTTGTTGTTGCTTATCAGACAGTTTTTGTTGTAAACAAGCGCAGAAAAGAATATTCCATCTATATTGCTTGTCATTGAAATTTCGGAATTGTGCTTCGCCCCCGGAGAATCGTGGTCCCAAATCTTTTCTTTTCCCATTTCATTTTCCAGACTCAAATCATTTCATCATTCTTATACAATGTGTACGTTAATACCATAGTAGAATGAATAACAAGTACAAGTATGAATCTAAATAATCTTAACAGTGCAACACTTTGTTTCATTCATTTTCCTTAGATAAGTTCTTGAATAAAGCTGTAGCCCACCAAAACGCATCTACACCAAACACATCTCCTTGTAGTACGAGCACCGAGTCACCCACCGATCCCAAGAAGATACAGCTGCTCGACAACGACTTCCACGACGACTCTGACTTCGGTGACCACGTCGATGACGACCATGATGGTTACGATGTCGATAATGATGACGACGATGATGAAGGATCTTCCAGTGTCAGCAGTGAAGAGGGATCTGTGAAGAGGTATAATATTATGAAGATGACTGATTTACATTTACTCCTAGAGAAAACCATCTACGTCGCATCCTTAATCATTCTTGTTTTAACACATAATCTCTTTCGTTGATCCTTCGTAATTTAATTTTCCTTACACATTAGTTTTTACCGGTTATGTTCTCTTTCATTTGCTTCCTTTTGTTGTTCTTTTTTTCTCTTTTTTTCTTCTACATCCTCTTTTCTTCTACTTCCTCTTTTCTTCTACTTCTTTTTTCCTTCTACTTCCTTTTTCCTGCTACTGCTACTTCTCCTTGAGTTTACCCTTTGCACCCTTTGGCAATTGGTATATATTACGCACTTTGTATCTCAAGCAAAATGTTTGTCAAGGAACAGTTTGAGAGTTAACAACAAAAGCGAGAATATCTTTTTGATACACTTTTTCGAACATGAATGTATCAGTTTCTTGAATACGGTATAAATAACTGGCATATATAGGAGGTTATTGTGATTTTGCTTTAAATTTAATATGGGAAGCTGGAATGAAATTTTATTTCATAGAATTTCTTGTGAAACTTTCATTTTAACAAATTTGTTCATGAGAGTCTGCATACACGAAATACCACATCATGACCTTAACAATTGCTTTTCATATGGAATTTTGAGATCATTTTGACCCCTGTTTTTCAGTAACTTGATACGATATACAGATTCAGTAGTCAAAGAATATCAAACACACCACAAGAATGTTTTAGATTTAATTCAGCCACCTACGCAAACACACCACTATCGTGCCTATTGCAATAAAAAAAGAGGGTTCGGAAAGTTAAACACCAAATTCAAAGCAACTTCTCACTTGAAAAGTTAGGAAAACACCGGCAACCTTGTGCGGCCATTTCCATTCTATGAAATACCAGCAGATAAAGGAACGAAAGCGTTTGTCACTCGAGAAAAAGAAATCCCACTTCTTACAATAGTTTGCGATATGGAAGAATAGGTTTTGTATCAGCTAGCCTTTGGTCCAGACCATGCAGAAGACAATTGCTACATTTTCCCATATGCATTTATTCGGGTTTACTGCCCATAAAATTACCAAAACGGTTGTACTCAATCCATTGCTAATGTTAAACACTTTCCTTTTCGTTAAGGGATAAATAAACTCTAGGTATTTAGTTGTACCTGGCGTTTATAATGACTTGCAGGCCTGTATTGTAAAACAAGACAGTAATGCAACGTGTACATAAAGATGCTTTTGACTTTAAATGAGGCCATATTTGACATTTCTTGTTAACCGCAGACGTTTTCTTCGCTTAATTTGTGTGAGAATATTAGTTTTGGAAAATAAAAAGGTGTGATACTATTATGATTGGGGTCTGATAGAATTGTAAAGTCAAAACTGACAACTGTTGAAGTTAACTATTTGATTTGATTCAAGACATAGGCCGTGTCTCTGTTTATAATAATGGTGATGAAATAGCCTCTACCATAGTATGTATAATGTGGGGTAGATGAGGGGGCGCAGGGGTGCGTGCCCATGAGTCGAATAGCGAAAGAGAAAAAAAGAGAAAAAAAGAAGGAAAAAGGAAGAGTACATGGGCAAGGTAACTTGAAAATAACATAACCTGCGATAGAAGTTTAGCACACCCCCTCCCCCCCCCCCCCCCTCCCTCCACATCTTCCCTCTAACCAGTGGCTTTGTAGACCTAGTTAGTTCGGTGCCCCCTCCCCACTGATGAAAGTGTCCACTGAATGTATGGGCTCACGCTATGCCACAACCATGGTGCAGGTAAAAGATAGAAATGTGAAAAAGGTGTTTTCTAGTTTTGAAGGAGCACGAGGATAAAACCGAGAAACGGAGCCCTGGGGGCGTTTCATGAAACAATTAGTCGTGGTTTTCACCGACTAATATCATGTTCACCGACAATTTAGTCAGCGCTGACTAAATTTGACCAATCACAGGCCTGGAAAATAGTCGGTGACAAAAGAATTGTCGGTAAACATGATGTTATTCGGTGAAAACTACCGACTAATTATTTCATGAAACGCCCCCCTGGTGTTTGTAAAAATGTTAACAATAAAAATGTCCAAAAAAAGAGGGGCGATTAACGTGAAAAGAAGATGAAACGCCCTCCTCCCGCACTTTTTCCTCACTCGATGCGCCCTTTGTTTTGTCACATTGCATGTAGGCCTATCTAATATCCCCGGTCCTCCACCGCTCCCCCCCCCCCCCCCTTTCCGGGCCCCATAGCACCATGAAGCGTCCAAGCAGAGGCTTGATCCACTGTTTAGCACAAGACAGCGACACCTCGTATGCAACGTCAGCTACAGAGAAGGCTGAGTTCTTGAAGAGATGAACAATAATCTGTGAAGTTTCTTGTTCCTTTCAAATTACTTTGGAAGAATTAATAGCCTATAATAGTTTTTAAAAAAATAATAAAGAACTTTGATCTTCAAATACCACAATGTTCGATATATGACGGGAATCAGGGGAAATGTTTAGTTTGGACCGAATGCCACCTACCTGTGTATAGTTCCTTGTACCCTTCGCCCCCTCCCCCTTCATGACCCGTTGGGGGGGGGGCGCAATGCGAGGGAAGAAGAAATGTGCTTACGTGATACCAACAGAATACAGATTTTTCTACAATATTTACTTGAACATTTTGAAGGATATTATGCTAGGGAGCGTATGTGTTGCAGTATTTAGTCAGTATTTGCTATACATTTTGTGTGTGTGTGCACTTTTTCAAAGGGGGGAAGGGGCAAGTGTCCCATCCCGGATCGCCGCCCCTGGGCCTATGTATTTGCTTTGTCCTGAAATATCCTTCCCAGAGGAGCAATATCTATTACAATCTAAAGAGGTAAAGTTTTAAAGCAACTTCACAGACAAACCTTGATCAATTATTTAATAAAGTGCCCCATTTATAAATAAATATCTTCAATGGGCTAAGGGTCTCTCCGGCTTTCTATTATCTCCGTTTCTCCCTCTCTTTCATGCAGAACCCTTATCTCATCTTAATCCGTTAATACGTCTCTTTACGAGGTTATTACTTGGTAGTACATTGAGGAAACGTATTAAATCCTCTTTATAATGGCATTGAAGTACTTATTTGTTTGCAACCATTCCTATTGATGTTTCGAATTCGACACAGAAAGAGCAACATTCTTATACCATAAAACATTCTGTCATTTCGCTAAACTGTCATGGCGCGTTTGTCATTTTTGCCAGTGTTGCGATAATGTCGGCGGCTTATCTATATGTTTTTTCATGACCAAACTCATGATTTATTAGTTTTCCTTCTGACTTCACAAAGGAAATCTGCCAACCGATCATTCCGGCGAACCAAAAGCCACCATCAGATCAAAAGGCCTCACCTTTCACAAATCTCGTCTATTCTTAACCACGCAGGCGAATTGCACGGTGGGAGCGACGACTCTCTCAGGGAGAGGATTTAGACGTCACAGGACCTGTCAACCAAGGCCAAGCATCGCATGAGTTAGGGCAGCGAGACCTGCCAGCTCCTGTAGTAATTCCGCCGACGTTTCTTCACGACCACGGGTCCGTATCGCTTCGTGAGAATTCGCAGGCGGAAAACGAGCTCTCCTTTGTAAGGTAAATTCCTTGTATAACACGTCATTCGGATCAGAACAAAAGATTCAGTAGAGAATATCGCAGTTTCCATTGATCAGAAGATTTAGAAAGAGTAAATAATGAAAACGTAATGTGCATTGATGGTACGATTTTCAATCTTGCGGAAAACGTGGGTATATTTACCCCCCCCCCCCCCCCCTGGGCGTTTGGCACTTAGGCCTACAAGCCTTCTAAAATAATGAGGTATGAATATATATATATATATATATATATATATATATATATATATATATTCAAATATCTTCTTGTACGGATCAAGGATCAATATTTCTTTTTTGTGTGTGTATTTTCTCGAACTCCGAGCGGAAATGAAGACTTTCTTTTAAATATCGATACATTATTAATAATATTATATACCTGTGTGTATATCGAATTTCTGACAAGTTATTAAAAAAAAGTTGTCAAAGATTTGTTTGCGGGGGGGGGGGGGCACGATAAGTCAGACTTTGACGGAGGAGGGGTGTACCCGTGTTATTCTTTGAAAAAACATGGATTTTAATTTTCTAAGCAACCTTTATTCAATCGTCAAGATTCCAAATACATCGAAATAATATATGAAACTCGTAACAAGGATACAATCACTGGGTGTATATGTATACTTGATTAAAAACACGCTATTTAGTATCTAAACTGTAGATTATTGGTACATATACAATGTGTATATAATACACTGTATGTGTCTGTGTATTCCCCCATGGCAAACTTACATGTAATATAAAAGTATAAGCCTCCTAAAAGAAAGGAGGTATGATGTGTAAATATGTGTGTGTATGTGCGTGGATGTTTATCGAATTTCTGGAGAAGACAACAAATTGGAAAAAGTTTTATTTGCGGGGGGGGGGGGAACACTGTGTTTAGGTATGTCAAATTTTTGACGGAGAGGGGGAGGGGGTGTACCCCTGTCAGGGGCACAGTTAAGGTTGGCCTATATATACTCTATGCTTTACACAAAATAATTACCCTAATTATTCTCAGTAACCTTCATTCATTTATCAAGATTCCAAATCATTCAAAAGATTGATTAATCAATAATCATACCCCCCCCCCCAACAAAAAAAACCCCAAAAATAAAAATAAAAATGAAAATAAAAATAAAAATAAGGAAAATGTAACTGGGTGTAATTGATTACAAAACACGTCCATTCAACTGACTCGGTAACAATGCCTCAGATTCTGAAAAAAGAAATCCTGGATTTAGCTCATGCTGCAATCATAGGACAGTCAGGAACCTCATGACTTTTACAAGCCGATTATCAAGATAGTTATGATTGGAAATCAAAATTTCACTTTACGTTTTCTCTACGATGTTTAGTACACTACAGTCAATTCGGGAAAACGAGTATGGTAAAACCGGTCAATCAAAGATCAAAAGATTTTCACTTTTTTGAGGCATTTCATGATCATTTTGAAGCCGCGCACTATTTTTAGGGCTTCAATATTACAGCATATCATAGACACTGATAAGGGTCGTACATCTCAGATTTAACGATACCGATACTCATAGGTACATATTATACATACATTATGAATTGTCTGAGTACAATTTGATTTAGTTAATGGGTAATATTTCACTTTCAGTCTTCTAATTTGTTTGTTGTTGTATTTCCGAAAATCATCATAAAAACAATAACACAATGTAACAAACTCAAAGACTTATATAACCATGAATAGAATGATAAAACGGTTGGATAGTCCATTTCAAAGCCAATGGCTCTGTTCTTCCATGGAGACTATGTCAAAAATCAACCAAAGGTAATTAGCCTTGTCCATCCTGTTTGAAATGTGCGAACATTAAATTGTGTTTTTCATCAGTCACTTGGATCTAATTGTTTGTGGACAATGGAGTAATGCGATGTAATGTTAATGTGAAGCATTTATTGAGAAATGATCAGCATAATTTTGCGCAATAGGCCATTTTCATAATGTAATCAAATTTAATGGCTTTTATGGCTTGTCCTACCTAACAACACTTAATGAATGCGATTCGCATTCTGACTATTGAAATACAATCATTCGTAACAGGTGAATGAAATAATTCATAACGAGGCACTTAACAAAGAATTGTGCATTAAATTTGATTACATTATGACAATGACATATTCTCAATGGTCGAAAAGCATTGTCGAGATTGAAACCATTATTGAACAAAAGACAAAAATAGTATGGTGTTAGAAATTATGTACGCAATTATCATTAGGTAGATCTGTGTTAGCTAGATTAGTTTATAAAAGGTTTCAAGAATAGAGCCAATGAGAAGCGTCGAAATGGATCACGTGTGCGGCATTAATTATTACCATATGCACGGGAGTGCATTTTTGAGATTATATCAACCGTCAATTTTCTCGACTTCATACTCATTGTAGATCAATCCTTTAAAGGCAGGCTTTATTACTTCAGCTAGAAGGGATTAGACCACCCAGCGAGCCAGCGAGGTCACTGTGACAGGTGGCTATCTCACTAACTCAGCTCTCATTTAACATAAGAAAAAGAGGATCATGGGGGACCAACAGGCACCGATTGGGGAAGTTTTCTATATAGAGGGAGCAAGTAGCTACAAGTAGGACAGTGTGCCTTTAAAACACATACCGTAATACATGTTTTAGCTCGTGCATTAGTAATATGCACTGCACTTGGTTAGGCCACAATGAGACGGATAATGAACTCGACAAGTCTCGTTCACTATCCTCCTGCGTGCAGTGCATATTCACTAGTGCACTCGCAAACATGTTTTATTTGTATCATATCTCCAAAATATTACGCCATTTACGTCACAAAGGAACTGTCACACTTTTATAAAAACCACCTCTCTTAAGAACCAATTACATCTAAATCTAAATACCCCCAAGTCGTTTTGCTGTCAAATTTAGGAAGACCTTGTCATGAATCAAATATTATTCATGACCTTCAACTAAATGGAGCCCCATTTCAATCAAAAATGGAACTCATCATAACTCGGGTGTATAATGTAAGCGATCAATCTCTTTGAACAGCTTGAAGTCGACGGATAGTATAGATGCATTTTTGTTTTCATTGAGAACGGTTTGACGAAACGGTTCACTGATTTTCGCTTAAAGACTTGTTTCCACCTCATAAGTTGGATATAATAAGAAGGAAAAGAATCCTTAGCAATTCGATTTCTTTTCAATACAGCCATGGTATACAATTTAGTTTTGTTGGAATGCTGTATTCAAATACTGCATTATATATACGTGTACAGTAGGAGCCTCTTGTATTTTGTACTAGATCGCTATTGCTAGATGAGTTCATTGGAATACAGTCATCCAAATAATATTTAACACACTGCATTCTCTATTAGGCTACTACTGATGAATGACATGAGTTGGAGGGGGGAGGGACCTTTTCCCACTTAAATGTTACACCTCTTTTGTTCATGTCGAACTCATTTTTCAACTGTCCACTGCGTGGGTCCAACTATACTTGGGGAGGGGGGCATCAATCGTTCTTTCTACGTTGAAGAAATTAGAGAACAAGGCTATATAACGAAGAAGGGGGGGGGGGGGTGAGTCGTGTCAATTTTTACGTTAATTACCTCCCCTCTCTTTCAATTTCTCTTCTCTTCCTTTTTTGTTGTTGAATACTTCTATTAGATGTGGAGGGGGCACGTGTCCCCTGAACTCTGTAGCTAGTAGCTACGCCACTGGATATCTTAGTATGATTGGAGGGGAGGGATGGGGCTACGTTTCTACGGTGGAGAAAATTTCATTCGACCATCTTAATGGATTTGGCAAAAATGATGGGCAGAGCATGATTATGATTGATTTGAGTTTTATCTATTTTAAAAAGGTAGCCCCATCAGTAGATGAAACACCGTTCTCCCTACCCTGGGGCACCTGTACAAATCTTGCATTCCCATTGTTACGTCAATAGAAAGTAATGTCCGATAGCGCCAACAAAATTGAAAGAATGATTTTAAAAACACAATCTGGATTCCATCGCTTATGCAATGTTTTCAAATTTGTCATATTTGATGTTATCCATCAATGAAAAGAACTTTGACATGGAATATTGACATATTAAGTATTAGTATTGAATTGGCAGTTCCAATAATGTGATCTGCATTAATTATTATGATGTTAATGTCATTCGAAATCAAACGATTGCTTTCTATCTTTAGTCATATCTCGGCGCCATTTTGTCCTTGTCAGAGAACTTGTTAGAATATAATCGTTAAGAAGCTTGTAGTCATTCAATCATTTTACATTCCATATAATCAGTAATGAATTGTTGATAGCACCACACCCTTGCCTTTCAATGAACATGTAAATACACTGAAAACGATCGCAAGGACCTTCGAAAAATCAACCGAAAATCAATTTCCCTAGCCTCGACCATCGCCTTGTGAAATATGTTAGCATTACGATGACGTATCGCTTGATCCAAAGTTAATTCATATGGGACTGGGATGAACAATAGGTTTTGAAATTGCCCTTGATGCTCCCGAAAGTTTGGTTCTCGAAACCCTTTACGACTATGTTGGTGACATTTTTTTTCTCTCCATCTCATTCATTTCTTAACAGGGCCAATGTGATTCGAATGAAAGCCGACTTCCAGATGACTGAACTCAAATTAAGCAACGCCAAGTGGCAATACGACGTCAACAAAGGGACAAAACCACCAGTGAGGTCACAGAAGAGGAACCCTGCTCTGAACTGGTCCAGCGATAACGTCTCTCTACCAGACATACCAGAAAACATGGCGGCGAGGAGGCGTGGAGAGGGCTCCCCGAGCACCGCACACCAGATGAGTCTAGCGTCGTTTGGCAATGACGGAAGAAGGCGAGATACATCAGGACAACATCGGGTTGTAAACCAGAGGATACTGTCATCTCCTGGAGGCCAGAACCCTCGTGTCATGATGAGCCAGTCAACACCGTCATTGGGTTCAAATGGAAGTCAAAGACACGTTTTAAGTTCCACCAAGTCTAATCAGCAAGCAATCACGTCGCCAAGCCTTCCAGCAAACAACTATGGTTTAGAAACAATGGAACTGAAACTCAAGAATATGAACAAGCAAGTGGAAAAGGAACGATCTCCAACCCAACGTACCCTGGTGGCCCCTTTAAAATCCTTTGCAGGTACTCTGCAGAATTCACAGAGAATACGTGGCAGCGGTGGGATGGAATCGCATGGTTATCAGATGGACCACCAGCGCAGGTCTGAGAGGTCCGGAACCACAAACATACCAACATCTCATCTTATTCCCAGCCCCAGAACAATGATACAGAGGGGCATCGATGAGAGAACAAATCAAGGCACACCACATGGTTCTCAAAGGGACCATCACCAAAGGTTCGAAAGGCCTGGAACCTCAAACTTACAAACATCTCATTCTATTCCCAGCCCTAGAACAATAATACAGAGGGGCATCACTGAGAGAACAAATCAAGGCACACCCCATGGTTCTCAAAGGGACCCTCAGCAAAGGTTCGAAAGGCCTGGAACCTCAAACTTACAAACATCTCATTCTATTCCCAGCCCTAGAACAATAATACAGAGCGGCATCGCTGAGAGAGCAAACCAAGGCACACCCCATGGTTCTCAAAGGGACCATCATCAAAGGTTCGAAAGGCCTGGAACCTCAAACATACCAACATCTCATTCTATTCCCAGTCCCAGAACAACAATACAGAGGGGCATCGATGAGAGAACAAATGAAGGCACACCCCATGGTTCTCAAAGGGACCATCACCAGGGGTTCGAAAGGTCGGGAAGCACAAACATACAAACATCTCGTTCTATTCCCAGCCCCGGAACAATAATACAGAGAGGCATTGCTGAGAAAACAAATCAAGGCACACCCCATGGTTCTCAAAGGGACCATCACCAAAGGTTCGAAAGGCCTGGAACCTCAAACATACAAACATCTCATAGTGTTCCCAAAACTAGGACGATCTTGCAGGATGACTTCGTGGCGAGAACACATCAAGACCCATACCATGGTTATCAAAGGGATCATCAGCAGAGGTTGGAGAGACCTGGAACACATCATAGTGTTCCCAGCACCAGGACAATCGTGCAGAATGACATTGCCGTGAGAGCAAACCAAGGCACATCCTATGGTTATCAAAGGGATTCCCAGCATAAGTTCCAGACGTCTGAAACTTCAAACGTACAAACGTCTCATTCTGTTCCCAATGCAAGTACAACCCTACAGGATGTGATTGATGCACGAACAAACCAAGATTTAGCTGATTTGAAAACTGAGCGTGAGAGATTACTCAATGAACTCGGTAATATCCTCCTTGATGACGTAGCACAACAAGATGCAATGGAGGAGGAGATGTCTTCAGGAGGTATTTCTGATGGCTCTGGTTATGACTTTGAAGATTCTTGGGACATGGAAACGTCTGAGTCCCCTGTAGACACTAACGATGTTGGAACACAATTTCCTTATCCTGATGAGGGAGGGTCGTCTCGGGACACATTTGAAGCAATTGAATCTATGCAAGATGAGAGTCAATGCTTAATTGAAGGAAGCGATGAAATCTTTCAATCTTCAGATTGTACGTTTGACGTGTGCATACAGGTTTCTGTTAGGACAACCACTAAAACTACACCTGATATATTCCCTGATGCCTTTCACACCCGAGACAGTTTTGAGAATCAGAATGAATTAGTAGTTGATCACATAGATACAACAGGTGATATACAGCTTGATAATTTGGAACTGGAAGAAGACGCCCCTTCCATGACTCCACTACCTAAAACAGGGAACACAATGAATGAAGAGCATCCCGGTGAAGAAGCAGTAGAGGATTTAGTACTGGCTCTAAATCATCCAAATGACAACGCACAGGTCAATGCTGTTGGTGTGGATCGTGGAATTGAGTTAGAAAAGCTCTCACAGGAGATGGATGGTTGCAACGAACCTGTTGAGGAACAACCAAAGCTAGCACCAGGATTCCTTTCTCATGTGGGCGAGACACCAGTGAACAGCCAGAGCGGTACAAAGAAGGTAGTTGTTGAGGAGTTTATCCCTCTTCGAAAATGTTCAAAGGATACTGTGCAGTTCAGCGCAGTTGGTGCGCATCATGATGATTTAATGGAAGAGCTTGCACAAGAGATAGAGAATGACCGCACCAACGTCAGCCCGGAGCAAAGAGAACAAACACCAGAAACGTTTTCTCAGTTAGATGAACCATCAGTGAACGGCCAGAGCAGTACAAAGAAGGCAGTTGTTGAGGAGTTTGTACCTTATTTAGAATGTTCAAAAGATACCGTGCAGTTCAGTGCAGTTGGTGCGCATCATGATGATTTAATGGAAGAGCTTGCGAAAGAGATGGAGAATGACCGCACCGACGTCAGCTCAGAGCAAAGACAGCAAACACCAGAAACGTTTTCTCAGTTAGATGAACCATCAGTGAACGGCCAGAGCGGTACAAAAAAGGTAGTTGTTGAGGAGTATATCCCTCTTCGAAAATTTACAAAGGATACTGTGCAGTTGAGTGCAGTTGGTGTGCATCATGATGATTTAATGGAAGAGCTTGCACAAGAGATGGAGATTGAAAACACCAACGTCAACCCGGAGCAAGGAGAACGAACATCAGAAACCGTTCCTCATGTGGACGAGACATCAGTGAACAGCCAGAGAGTCACAATCAAAAGAGTTGTTGACGAATTAGTACCACGCGTAAATGTATCACATGATAACTCGCAGTTATGTGCCATTTTTGCAGATCATGATGATGTGTTTTCTGCCATTGCTGCACATCACGACGATGTGTTGAAAAAGCCGACAAACGAGATGGACACTTGCAATATTCCTGAAAGGACGGATGGAAGTGAACCTTTTGTGGACGGTGACCTCAACATATCGGCTGTTGATATTAAATCTGATCATGGGGAGCCACAAGAACAATTAGCAAACACATCTTCTCGTCTCGATCAAAGACCCATGACAAACCAGACAGACATAAAGAAAACGGCTGAGGAGGAATTCGTACCACGTCTAAATTCTTCATCTTCGGATCTTCGGGTCAGCGCCGATAATGGACATAGTGACGATGGTTTAGAGAGGCCGACGCAGGAGATGAAGAAGTGTAACAACACAGCCAATGGTGACCCGGAAGAACTTCATTCAACCGATGATTTGCCAGCTGAGAGTCACCCATCGTCTGAATTACATATATCAGAAAATGTGTATGACCAAGCAGACCCAATGAAAGAAACGCGTCTCGATGAAAGATCTTCGCAAAGACTGCAAGACACAAGCAAAGAAGTTGTTGAAGAATTCGTACAAAGTCTTAAGCTTCCACTTGATGAGGCGGAGCTTAGTACTAATGATGCACATCACAATAATGCACTGGAAAAGCTCGCAGAAGAGGTATACAAAAGCAGCAACCCGGTTGTTTCTGCAGAACAAGAAATGAAATTGACGGCATCCGATAGATCCGATCTCTATGATGATAAGACGCCGGTTCAAGATAATTTTTGTGAGTTTCGTGCAGGGGACAACAAACAGCCGTTAAACTTGTCAAAGCTTTCGTCACCCGTCGAAGAAGATAATGCATCTTTAGTCAAAACCAAAATATCAGTAGGTTCTCCTTCTGTTGAAACAGCTCAGATTTCATCTAGCAAAGACCAGTTTAATGGCTCCGATCAAATCTCACATTGTAGGGTAGAAAATGAAGCTGAATCGAGAGAAAATGATGGAATGGTTTCGGTAGATTCAGAGGACCCCGTTACACCAAATGCCTTAGCAACTATTCCAAATCCTCCACTAGAATTTGATTTCCCTTCATTACCCACGCCTGTCGAAGACAGCAATGAGTCGACCAAAGAAAAAGACCTCTTGCCGCAAGGAGCCTCTAATGTACCTGCTGCTCCAAGAGATAATGACGACAAGCCTGATACTGACCAGAAGAACTCTGAACAATTGAGTATACCCCTCGATGTTTCTGCGGCTTTTGAAAACGAGTTGGCATTCGATGACCTTTCCAAAGACGGGACACGTTTTAAAGACAATGATGACGCAGCTAACCAGAGAAGTCCCAAAGATATCAATGTGAAAGACAGTGGGGTAAGGGGACCTTTGAGTCCGAGGAGATCGAAAATTCCAGTACCGAAATCAAAACTTAGTAGGAGCAAAAGCTGTCCAACTCGCAACCGCTCAAACAAGAAAGTCTACAAGCAAAACTCACAAACTCCAAAAGATCAAGAAGGAGCTTTAAACAAGAGACCAATCAGTGATAAGACGCTCCCTGTTAACGTCAAGACAACATCGCCAACTTTGGTTAACTCTTTCCCGTTTCGTAGTGATGGAAACCGTAGGTCCTTTAAAGGAGATAAACAACAAAATAGCCGCATACCAGTACCAACGTCAAACTTTAAAAGAACTGGGAGTTGTCCAAGTCGCCCAAGGCCCAGGATTGTAGAATTAAATTCCATGTCTTTATCAAACAAGTCGAAACGAGTTCCAAATCTCACACCGCCTACACCTGCTACTAGAGACAACACCAGTAAAACACGTTCAAGAGACATTGATATCACTGAAGCACTTGCCATTTGCGAACAAGAGGCTCTCCAAGGTGATGAAAAATCGACTCGAGAAATCGAATCAAGCATACCTGATGTCGATAATTCATCAATTCTCCTTGGTGAAAAACCCAATGATCTTGCAGCGGATGATGTGCAATCATTGAACGCACTGCCATCAGAAACTGAAAAGTTCATACAAAGAGCAAAGCAAATTTTGTCGAGATTACCAATTTCACAAACAAATGTCCCAAAGACCCGGAGTGTGCCATTTGGTATGAAACCAACGGCCAGAGAGGAGAGCCATGGGTCTAAAGATGTTAAGGGTCCACCAGAAGAAGTGCCTTACGCAGACTATCCTGCTGTTTCGTCACCAGAAATGGATATTGAATTTCTAGCATTGGAGGCAGATGCAGAAGATGATACAGCTAGTGACACGTTTACTCTTCACTCAGATAATGACTTGGATATACAAAGCCCCTTATATGACGAGGTCCTCAGAATAGAATCGTCTGAAAACGGGGAAGATGTGTTTGAGTCGGATGACCAAAAATCTTTGAAATCTGGGATACCAGTTCTGAAAGAATGCCGTAAGCCAATCCACAGCGATGATACAGTGGAGGAAAGAAGTGAACCTGAAGATGAAGTCGTTAGTGATCTTTCTGGCAAAGAACGTTCCGTCGCCAGGATTTCTCCTATGCCAAGGGAAGATGGAGGTGAGTTGACACCAATGCCGAGATTTAGAAAATCTCTCAAGTCAAGGATCCCCCTCCCATCCCCAGTTGCAATTAAACCGCCACCAAGAACAAATAGAAATCGATCGTATTCTGAAACTGACGGAGGAAATGCGATTAATACTGATGAGGAGCCTGACAAAGTGAGTCGGGAGGAACCTGATGATACCGATGGTGAAAATATAAGAGATCGGTACTCTGAACTTGAGGAGGAACGTATTCTAAGAAAGACGCAGTCATCTCGGGAGGTCAGGCCCCGTGGTAGCTATTGGGCCTTTTCCACATCGCCAAGTCTTGCGACCTCGGATTTTGAACGTTCGCAGACGCTGAGGCCGAATCGTTCAAGGAGCACCGGTAGAAAATCACCAGCTGGTACTCCAAGAACGACACCAAGAGGCACACCAAGGTCTACACCAAGGGGCACACCTCGGGATACGCCAAGGGGCACACCGCGAGATACGCCAAGAGGTGGAAGCCTCAGGAGGCAGTATCCTCATTCCAAAACACCACCAACCTTCAAATCTCGAGAGTGTGCCATCGTGCCACTTCCTGAATGGAATCGCTTGAGAGAAGTTCTTTCTTCAGGGGAACAGTCCAGGCAGAGCACCCGCCCACCCAGCCCCTCGGAGTTCAGCTACACCAGCAGAAGGTCATCTAACGAATTTCAAACGGTGCACTCTCCGAAATGGGAAATCCCCGTTACAACTCCGAAGCCGAGTCGTTGGAGAGCAGATGGTCGTGTCCCATCACATTTAAAGAAGAAATACTCCTCCATGAATGACATGGGCCATTCCGAAGACTTCTACCCATCAGACCAAAACCTGGCTAAACCCGGAATAGCCAAACCGGAAACGGACTCTCCCTGGACGATTCAATCGCCAATCCGTGCATCATCTTCATCGCAATCTGTACCCCATACTGATAGATATGGCGTTGCAAACAAAAGCGCGAATCCCCTTGAAGAAAGATCATTCACAGACGCTAGTACAAGCAGAAGACGCCCTTCTTGTGTATCTGAAACTACTACCGACTTTCCAATGTCTTCTACAGGAGACGTCTCTGCGATTTGGACAGAGGATGACACCATGGCGAGCTCTAACTTCAGTATACCGGCAGGAGCTAAGAAGAAATCATGGAAGAAGCGTCTCTCGATCAGGAGAAAGAAGTCCGTTGACCCCTCGAAGGAACAGGGCAAGGAGCCTGAAGAGGTCAGGAGAAAGAAGTCTGAAGACCCCTCGAAGGAATCGGACCAGGAGCCTGAAGAGGTCAAACGGGAGAAGAAGAAGAGGAAGAATTGGTTACTGAGGTTTCTTGGAATCAAGAAATAGTTTATCTTCACTGCGGATTAACCACACAACCAAGCCTTCCATATTTATCGGGAGATGCCCCTAACAAGTTTGAGGTTCCACCAGGCGAATTGTGCCCCCACACCGATCTCTTGCTGAGTATTCACCATGTTTTGTTGGTATAATTATGCCCCTGAAGGGAGCTTACCTTGTGCGCTAGCTATAGAAAAAAAGTAAACCCAGGAGGGAACATATTACTCTCATGTTCATTTTATAGTATTTATTTTCTGGCATTGAAGTTTCTCCTCGAACAGTTGACTACTAACATTGTGTTGATTTCAGAAGAGGAGTCGCTAGAAGGGCGGGAGGGATGGGATTTTGCACCCCGTCTCTCTTAGTTTAAACAAAATTGTCGACAAATCAATTTGTTCGAATTATGCCGGCAAATAGAAGAAAAAATAAGACATTTTCCACTGTGAGTGACTTTTTATTTTTGAAAAGCCATTGTTTACGGAGGGGGGGGGGTCGACACCCCTATTCAAAATGAGTATAGCAACGCCCGTTTGCGTCACCGAATCTGCATAAGCAGACACACTTGGGTGGACGAGAACCTACTGTACAAAATCGGTCTTCCGAATCGCAACACTATCGTCTTCGTGATACTCGTTTCTGTTTGTACAGTGTTTTATTATTATTATTGCTTAGTTTGTATTTCATGAAGGAAAAGCATGCAGCTTTGATTTGTTTGTATGTTGTAGCTTGAATGCATTGTATTAATGTATTCACCTCTAACGTCAGATGTTTATCCATGTAAGAACGTGTTTTGTTTGCTGTTCCTCATATTTGTTTACCTCAAGCGCGCTATGTGGACTTTGGATATCCACTCAGCGCTGTGATAATCAGCCTTTGTGTGTTTGCAGGTACTTATATATTTCTATATCCAGATCATTTCTTGTAAAACTTGAAGTTTGCTGTGATTGATGCTATAAGTATTAACAGCTTGTTTGATTATGTACAGGTTTCTTATACTAGATTCAATTTATCGTTTGATGTTTAATCCACTGTGTTTTTGTAATATGTTAACAAAATTGTTGATACACCATTCTAACCCTCTTCATTCTCCTCTGTAACTATTTCCCCCAATACTCTCTCTCTCACGTTTTGTCTCGATGACAGTGTGCCTCACGTCTCATGATCTTTCTCCTCTCCTCTCCTCTGTCCCCGCTCTCTCTGTTTTTGTTCTCTCTCTCTCTCTCTCTCTCTCTCTCTAATTTCTCTCTTACACACCTATTCTTCCACCCCTTTTCTCTAGCTCTTATCCCTCTTCAATCTTTGCTATATTTGTTCATACATCTATAAACCCTCCTCACCGCCTCCCCAATGTATTTTCATTTTAGAATATGACTTTAAGGTTGAGGCATTTATATATCCTTTTTTAAAGACACTGTGACGTAACAAAGTACAAGTATAGATGCACAAGCATATACTACATGTACAACTCGAGGGAATTCCGAATTTCGTCAATATACCTAAATGTGTAGGCTATATGTATTTTAAGTGTATTTATCTTCTCCAAAGGATTATAAAATACTCAAATTTCGTGTTTTTTTTTGTCGATCAATTGCTGAACTAAAGAGTTATTTTACAATATTAGTCTATTCGTTGTAGCTGAAAATGCATATACATTTTGAGTAACTGGTAGATCGACGCACGAGACGGTCAGTGGCTTTGAGAATACAATGTGTACTAATATTCGGACAACCACCGCCTTATATTTAGGCAGCGCGGTGCATTGGTCTCTTGTCATTTTTATATCTTATCTCGTATGTTTGATGTCGAAATTACATTAAAAGATTATAAATTAATAAATGAAGTGCCAATTTTTAAAACAGGAAAATTGATATTCGTTCAAAAGACACCAACCCTTTACGATGTCGATATTGTACCCGTATGTCTATGAATGGACTTATATGACTAGTTGACTAAAAGCGTCTTTCAGTTTTTCTACAAACAAAAAAAGAAACACCTTCCGTGATATTCAACTTACAGTCTGTATAAATATCAAGATAAACATTTTTTTGTATATGCTAGGTGCTAAAAAGTTGAATATTTGACGAGGTAGTTCATTCAACTCATAAGAATGTGTGATGGAATATAACTGCACTTATATATTTGAATTTTTTAAAAGTGAATATATTATATATTTTCGTAGTCAGATATTTTGTATTAATGACAGATAATCAATTTTGACGCAGTGTTGCATTAAAGATGCTAGATGGGATTGAGTTTCAAAACTGTTTTTTGTTAAAGACAGTTTCATTCATTCTCGACTTGCAGTTTGTACACTTGAACATGTATTTGAGAGTTTCTAATAATTTGCTTAAATAAAATATAAACAGAATAATACACTGCGAGATAGGCAGAGGGAAATAGATGCAGAAAGGGAGAGGGAGAGAGAGAGAGTAAGAGAAAGAGAGAGAGAGAGAGAGAGAGGGTGGGTGGGTGGAGTAGGAGAGGTATGCAGAGGGGAAGACATTTAGATACGAAGAGAGAAAAAAGAAAGAGAGAGAGAGGAGAAAGAGAAATAAAGAGATGCAGACATGAGGATATTGAGAGAGATGTGGAGAGTGCGAGATGCGGAATGTAAAATATTCAAAGACGAAGAGAGAGTGGTAAAAGTCCAGAGAGGAAGAGAGAGAGATATATATATATATAAAGAAAGAGTTGCAGAGATAGGTACATATCGAGATAGAGAGGCACACACAGGGAAGGAGAGAGAGATAGAAAGAAAGAAAGAAAGGGGTGCAGAAGGTAAAATAGATGGAGGTGTAGAAAAGAAGATATTCGGATTGCGAGGGAAAGAGAAAAATAACAGAAAAACAGATGAATATGGGGTGGGGAGGATGGGGCGTAGGAGAGGTATGTAGAGGGGAAGATATTCAGATACAAACAGAAAAAAGAAAGAAAAAGAGATAGAGAGAAGGAGAAACCCAAATAAAGAGAATGAAGAAAGGAAGAGATTGAGAGAGATGTGAAGAGTGCGAGATGCCGAGTGTAAAATATTCAGAGACGAAGAGAGAGAGAGAGTGGTAAAAGTCCACAGAGAGAGAGAGAGATATATATATATATATATATATATATATAAAGAAAGAGTTGCAGAGATAGGTACATATCGAGATAGAGAGGCACACACAGGGAAGGAGAGAGAGATAGAAAGAAAGAAAGAAAGGGGTGCAGAAGGTTAAATAGATGGAGGTGTAGAAAAGAAGATATTCGGATTGCTAGGGAAAGAGGAAAATAACAGAAAAAACAGATAAATATGGGGGTGGGGGTGGGGAGGATGTGGGCGTGGGAGAGGTATGTAGAGGGGAAGATATTCAGATACGAAGAGAGAAAAAAGAAAAAGAGATAGAGAGAAGGAGAAACCCAAATAAAGAGAATGAAGAAAGGAAGAGATTGAGAGAGATGTGAAGAGTGCGAGATGCCGAGTGTAAAATATTCAGAGACGAAGAGAGAGTGGTAAAAGTCCAGAGAGGAAGAGATAAGCGAGGGAGAGAGGTAAAGAAAGAGTTGCACAGAGGAAGTCAGAGGGAGAGAGAGAGGGCGAGGGAGAGAGAGAGAGAGAGAGAGAGAGAGATAAAGAAAGAGTTGCAGAGAGGAAGAGAGAGATTCAGATCGAGAGAGGGGGAGAGATATAAAGAAAGAGTTGCAGAGATCGAGGTACATATCGAGATAGAGAGGCACATACAGGGAAGGAGAGAGAGATAGAAAGAAAGAAAGAAAGGGGTGCAGAAGGTAAAATAGATGGAGGTGTAGAAAAGAAGATATTCGGATTGCGAGGGAAAGAGAAAAATAACAGAAAAACAGATGAATATGGGGTGGGGAGGATGGGGCGTAGGAGAGGTATGTAGAGGGGAAGATATTCAGATACAAACAGAAAAAAGAAAGAAAAAGAGATAGAGAGAAGGAGAAACCCAAATAAAGAGAATGAAGAAAGGAAGAGATTGAGAGAGATGTGAAGAGTGCGAGATGCCGAGTGTAAAATATTCAGAGACGAAGAGAGAGAGAGAGTGGTAAAAGTCCACAGAGAGAGAGAGAGAGAGATATATATATATATATATATATAAAGAAAGAGTTGCAGAGATAGGTACATATCGAGATAGAGAGGCACACACAGGGAAGGAGAGAGAGATAGAAAGAAAGAAAGAAAGGGGTGCAGAAGGTTAAATAGATGGAGGTGTAGAAAAGAAGATATTCGGATTGCTAGGGAAAGAGGAAAATAACAGAAAAAACAGATAAATATGGGGGTGGGGGTGGGGAGGATGTGGGCGTGGGAGAGGTATGTAGAGGGGAAGATATTCAGATACGAAGAGAGAAAAAAGAAAAAGAGATAGAGAGAAGGAGAAACCCAAATAAAGAGAATGAAGAAAGGAAGAGATTGAGAGAGATGTGAAGAGTGCGAGATGCCGAGTGTAAAATATTCAGAGACGAAGAGAGAGTGGTAAAAGTCCAGAGAGGAAGAGATAAGCGAGGGAGAGAGGTAAAGAAAGAGTTGCACAGAGGAAGTCAGAGGGAGAGAGAGAGGGCGAGGGAGAGAGAGAGAGAGAGAGAGAGAGAGATAAAGAAAGAGTTGCAGAGAGGAAGAGAGAGATTCAGATCGAGAGAGGGGGAGAGATATAAAGAAAGAGTTGCAAAGAGGTACATTTTGAGATAGAGAGGCACACACAGGAAAGGAGAGAGAGAGATATAAAGAAAGAAAGAAAGTGGTGAGAACGTAAGAGAGATGGAGGTGTAGAAAAGAAGATATTCAGAGTGCGAGAGAAAGAGAAAAATAACAGAAAAACAGATAAATAACGGGGTGGGGAGGATGGGGGCGGTAGTTCCCTAGGTTTTTCAGGCCTGCTTGTAATGTATAAGAGGCAAAATGTTATTTGAAGGATGTTCATAGGTCAGGGTTTAGCAGGGTTGCTGAAAATAATGTACAAAACTGTTTGAAATATGTATATGTATTCGATATAATGAAGACCTACACTCATCACCATTCACAACATTCATACAACATTCACCATTCATTACAGGTGTTTAGACTGCTCAGGGTGATCAATTCGGCTTCGTAATTTTTGGTGGTTAAGCGCCACCTGCTGTCAAATAATTACAGTCATGTTATTGACCCAGAGTGAAATAATTAAAGGTAGGTATTTTATATCAAATTTAATTGAATTCGCCTCTGATAAATCAAATCATAAAGGGATTTAAATTTGTATGAGTGATTCATTTATTGTCATTTTTTGTTATAGTTATGTTGATTTGTCGCCTCGAAGTCGCCGTCTCTTAAAAGTTTTTTCGGGCAATTTTTTTATTCAACAGCACCTTTGATGCCAATGTCATATCCATATATTATGTCTTTTTTGTGAGATACCTCGCCCCCATCGTTCTGGTGGAGCCTCTTTTAACGAGCACTAGCTGCTTCTCTTTCAAGAAAAACGTCCCTCAATACGTAATGAATGAATTAACTCGATAACATGCATCTCCCTAACGCACACGCACGCCCACTCCCCCTACCTGCCACATACAACTTTCCCTACACCCACACGAACCCTCCACATACACACATCCTCCCACAAACCTGAAACGCACGAGTGACAAAGGAGACTTTAAAACACTATTGTCCATTTTATATCTTTGCTTCGGATATTTATTTATTCGTAAAAAGATTTTGAAAATTAAAAGAACAACCAAGAACCCAGGCTTACTGTGAACAATACAAGAAAAGAAGACAGAAAGATAATATATTCTTATTATTACAACTATAATATTATACGTTAAAAAGGAAAATAATCCTGGTGAGAGAGGCGGAGAATTAGATATCAATATTTTACTTAATAAACAGAAATGAAAATGGGCCGGGAAGAGGAGATGATACAAAAGATTGGGAAGGTTATATGTACAGGGATGGAAACCCACTTATGGGCCCCCGAGTCATATCAGAGAACATTTTCGTTTGGAGCGGAATACACGCTCAAATGAATGGAATCCACTCTCAAAGGATTAATTAAAACACTCCTTTGGAGTGGGCTCAACTCCTAATAAAGTGATTCCTGACACGATTGCTAATAAGGGAATTTCCACTCCTTTGCACTTCTTAGTATACATCAATGTGTATATGCTAGCAAACTTTGGCAAATGAGGACCTTCATATTGACCCTTAGAAACTCTCTCTCTCTCTCTAAAAAAAAATCGAGTGATCACTGACGTCACTCCTCTGGAGAGTGAAAATGTAGTAAAAATAGAGTGAACATTCACTCTTTTCTTCTTAGAGAACACCTTAAAACCAATCGATATTCACTCCTAAACATTAGTGATCCCTGACGTCACTCCCAAGAAAGTGAAAATTCACTCTTTTTTTAGTGAGAGAAAAATAGGGAGAGTACATTCACCTCCGTAAAAGATGGCTACCTTCTACTTTTCGTTTGTAGATTAAGAACACTCACAAGAATAACAAAGATGAGAACAATCTTTAACAAACGGTCTATCTAATATAGTTTCTTTACATGAGTTTTTTTTATAAATGTAACTGCTATTTACATGAAAAAAGGAATCATTCATTAATGGCTCGTTCAGATACGATGCGGGAAAACCTCGGGTTTTTAAAAGGATGACGTAAAGTGTTATACGCTTCACATTTATGTATTTTATAACACAGAGTCCACACGCCACGCCTGAACAAGCCTTTAATCTATGAATAAAGACATAATGTAAAAAACCTTCTTGAATTCATTCAGCCTTACATCGTCTTACTGAAGTTAATTCAATTTGGAATGACAAAGGTTTAAAACAAATTTTGGAAGCTTTTACAGCTATCATCAAGTACTAATATAACACTTGTGTCATAACCAGTGCAGCGATTCCAATATTTGTTTAACAACGGATAGAACCGGTTAGCGAAAATGCATGAAATATGAGGTGATAAATTCTTCTGAGTATAACATTAACACACGGCCTAATTAACATCTTGATTATATACATGTTTTATTCAATCATAAAAAATAGTGAAAGACGTTTAGTATTGAAAGTATATAAAGTGCATCTACACAAACGATGATCATTTGAAAGACATTTTGTTTGATCATGAATGACTAATTTCCTGTCTCGACCAAGAAAATAAAGTAAAAAGTGATTTAAACTGGTTTCGATGCGCTCCCATCAATTCTGCCGCCTATACTGTAACTTCATTCATTTTTAGAAACAAGCATAGATGTTGTAACTCTGAAGAAAATCACGATATGCAAAATAATTAGGATATCTTCTGATTTTTACTCATTTTCTCAATCGAAAAAAGCTTTTACTCTTTTTTTCTGATAGATTGTATCTCTTCCTCATTATATAATTATATACACACATACTTAAGTAAGTTCTAGACTGATGTAACTACATTTCGAAGTGTTTATATACAGCAATGAATATTTATGACAATAGAAATGATCAGTGAAAACAAATCCTGAGAAAAGAAAATGGTAAGGTTTAGTTTTATGAATCATGCAGTTGTCTATTTTATCTACCCTAGTCTTGAATCGAGGTAGCTAGAATTCGAAAATATAGACATAAAAATATTGATACTTGATGTAGTGATTTCCCCGATTTATTTTGGTATTCTATACCCCCCCCCCCGACACACATCCCGGGGTCGGAGGTACCGCATTCGCATACACGTATCCTAAATAATACTGAGTGGGGGGGGGGGGGCAGGATTCTATATAGACTAGAATTAACTCCCACTAACACAGATTATTATTTAAAAAATAAAAAAAAATATCTGATGAACGTAATACGAGCATCACATGTTGCCGCTTTTGGCAAAACCAAATATATGAACAGTTTTGATAACTACCTTTAAAAGTGATCGATTTAAAAATGAGTAAAAGGGACAACAACTTATAACAACTATCATCATAAAACAATAATGTCCCTGTTTATTAAAACACCTATTTCAAATTTCTCCGCTACTTTTCGTGGAATCGATATGCAAAAGTGGAAAAATATTAACTTTGAAATTGAAGAATTTTATATACACCTAACATTTTACAGGTTGATTACATAAGCGACATTTTTGGGTAAACAGCAAGGCATGGAAGGCATGAAATTCAGCCTTGTATTTTTATTCTTTTTCTTTAAAAAAAAGTGTGCAAACATGTGGTAGGCAAAAAAAAACAATAATAGTCTTTATACTACTTCCTGCAGCAATAAGCTCATCTTGATAGGCAAATAAAATGATACAAAGAAAACAATCAATTTTCAACACAAATACTTTTGATATTTTGAAAGACTTATTTTGAAGAAAAGAATTGTTTATCAAAAATGCATCGTAGGAAGAAATGGCGTTGTGAGAAAAAATAAAAGGCAAAAATCTATAAGTTATTTGAAGGTTTTTGTAGAAATAGAATGATGGAATAATATACAATCAAAGCTGTCAATAGCATTCAACGATAACTTTGCACCTAATCATGCAATAAGTTGAATGTACCGTTCCATAGCCTAAATGAAAGCTATGCTTTTTTTGAAAAATAACATGAATATTATACGAAATGCAAAATTCACCTAATTATTTATTATATCATTTTCTTTCCAAGCAACATCATACATGCATTTGCAGTTTCATCTTACCAATAATGCTAATTTGCAAAGCAAAGAAAATTGAAATAAGGAGAAAACTAGACGCACTATACTCGTAAATAATCAATATAAAAATATCTTTGAATCAGCAATGTACAAGCCACTGTGATCATTCACAATAATATTGAGGGAATATACAAATTCTTACCCACGTACCATCATTTAAAACTAATATATAAATTGTCTAACTTTATATCAACATTACATTATCTGGCGCCAATAACTCAGACGGGACTAAAGTTGACGGCATTTGTATTTCTGGGGGGTTGAAGTTGGCTCATGGATTTATAGAACATCAAGTGGTACGATCTTTATTCTGTACAGAATTACCATAATTGTGTGACAAAACAGAGTAAACCAAATGAATTTTACTATCATGGCATGATTATGGGAAATGTATGTCATATTGACATGTAGTGCAGTTACCGTGCTTCTAAAAAACAAGATAATCTGTATTCATTAACAATCGTTGTTTATGATAATTATGTGCAAATTTCTGATAGTGACCCTTAGAACGATATAACATGATACCTTAGAAAGATATACAATGATAACAGGTGAAGAGCTATATGTAGTGCTCATAGAAGAAAATGGGTTTAGTAAATCATGTCATCTCGTGCGTAGCCGTTGTCGACGTATCTCCGTGATCGTCGAGCACCACGATCACCATAACCTACTCTCCTGGATTCGTACATATCGTCATCGTAGGCTGGGCGGTGACCTCCTCGTCTTCCGTTTCGTCCGTGCCCGTCGCCAGCAAAGGCCGGCGGAGGAAACGTCTCCCTTGTGTAAACGACCTCCTTTTCGACGGCGGGTCGCCGGGGAGGTGGGGCCTCTTCCACGAAATCGTCCTCGTAGTCATCGTCGTAGTCGTAGCCACCCTGTCGAGGGTCGCCGTAGACTTCGATGAGTTGGTTTGGGCGGGGTCCATGCTGCCTGGGTCGGGGTTTGCTAGCCTTACGAGCCGGTGGGCGGTATTGCTCACGCTCGAGTACGGCTGGTGCCTCGAATGAACGACGGTGGTGGTCTAGAGCTGTTTTGAATAATATGAAATCAAACATTATTTAATTCACATGCTCATTAACGCATTTTAACAGTGTTGGCATATTATAGTTTGTATCATTATCATCATTCTTATATATCATTATATATCTGTAAAACGCTTTGAGAGGGCCTTCGGTCTTGAAAGCGCTATATAAGAACTAGCTATTATTATTATTATTTTTGTTATTAACATTTATATTTTCATTCTTTATTTATTTATTTAATATTCATTATTCATTTACTCATTCTTTCTTTCTTTCATTCATTCATTCATTCACGTATTTATCTATTCATTCATGCATTTATTCATTCGTATTCACCTCCTCTCGTCAGCCTGGCTGGAGGGGCATATTCAGAGTAGGTATCACGAACAGGTCTTCTTGCGGGTCTAGCATCCTCCTTCCAATCCCTGAAAGCAGCTTGGAAGCCCCTGGCGAATGCCGTCTGCAAGAAGAACAATTCAGTCATATCAATGTCTATTCGGAAATATAAGCAGGATGGGGTATAGAAGCGGGAGAAGGGGTAGAAGCGGGAGAAGGGGTAGAAGAGGGAGGAGGGGTAGAAGAGGGAGGAGGGGTAGAAGAGGGAGGAGGGGTAGAAGCGGGAGGAGGGGGTAGAAGCGGGAGGAGGGGGTAGAAGCGGGAGGAGGAGTAGAAGCGGGAGGAGGGGTAGAAGAGGGAGGAGGGGTAGAAGCGGGAGGAGGGGTAGAAGCGGGAGGAGGGGTAGAAGCGGAAGGAGGGGTAGAAGCGGGAGGAGGGGTAGAAGGGGTATAAGCGGGAGGAGGGGGTAGAAGCGGGAGGAGGAGTAGAAGAGGGAGGAGGGGTAGAAGCGTCAGGAGGGGTAGAAGCGGGAGGAGGGGTATAAGCGGGAGGAGGGGGTAGAAGCGGAAGGAGGGGTAGAAGCGGGAGGAGGGGTAGAAGAGGGAGGAGGGGTAGAAGCGGGAGGAGGGGTAGAAGCGGGAGGAGGGGTAGAAGCGGGAGGAGGGGTAGAAGCGGGAGGAGGGGTAGAAGCGAAAGGAGGGGTAGAAGCGGGAGGAGGGGTAGAAGGGGTATAAGCGGGAGGAGGGGGTAGAAGCGGGAGGAGGGGGTAGAAGCGGGAGGAGGAGTAGAAGAGGGAGGAGGGGTAGAAGCGGGAGGAGGGGTAGAAGCGGGAGGAGGGGTAGAAGCGGAAGGAGGGGTAGAAGCGGAAGGAGGGGTAGAAGCGGAAGGAGGGGTAGAAGCGGGAGGAGGGGTAGAAGAGGGAGGAGGGGTAGAAGCGGGAGGAGGGGTAGAAGCGGGAGGAGGGGTAGAAGCGGAAGGAGGGGTAGAAGCGGGAGGAGGGTTAGATGGGGTAGAAGCGGGAGAAGGGGTATAAGCGGGAGGAGAGGGGTAAAAGCGGGAGGAGAGGGGAGAAGCGGGAGGAGGAGAGGGGAGAAGCGGGAGGAGGAGAGGGGAGAAGCGGGAGGAGGAGAGGGGGAGAAGCGGGAGGAGGGGCGGTTATAAGGGCTGAAGGCAAGTGGGGAATCTGTGGCCCTAAGTGAGATGTGCTCCCTCGCCCCTCTCTGCAAAAATATTCTTTTATTCCATTCACGTCCAGAAATAAAACAAAAATAAACAACAACGAGACAAGCAAATACAAAATGACAAAACAAATACGTGCACTGATTAAAATATGCGCCCCTTATTCTATTGAAAAATATTAGGGGCATATACTTATTCACGTCCGGGAAAATACAGCGTGCCCAACGATGTGTGCCCCTGGCTAGTTTTGTTTTGTTGGGGTATCTCATGGGCATTCAAATCTTGATGGGCATTGGAGGTGTCCTATGGCTCGTCCACGATCATGGGTGGGAAAGGAAAGGCATGCCTCTCCTTTCCCACCCATAGGAGTGCAAAACTTGATCTTCATTGATGTTGGTAGAGTTTTAACTTTTCTTTAATTTGATATATAATAATAATAATAATAATACTCAGTTTTTATATAGCGCTTATTAGAATCACTAAGCGCTTCCAAACTTGGAGATTATTACCCCGGCTTTAGCTGTGCTGCCATTGCGGCGCTCTAGCATTTCAAGGAATTAATTCCTTAATTTATTTATTTTATTATACTTTTTTGACAGTTAATATGGACATGTTGGGCAATAAAGAGTGTCCACTTTCTTTTTGGTTGAGTGTAGCATGCTCATTATTTGCAGAGAATGCGGAGAGCTAGAAGCCCGGCCCCCCCCCCCCCCCCCCACTCAGAGGTCGGAATGACCGCATGCGTGTTGCCAAAATGTCCGGTAAAGGGGTACTTTTCGTGCGACAAAGTCCGGCCCGAGAATTGTAAGAAAAGGAGTGTATTTGACTTTTCACCCGGAGATTTCTTTAAAAAGGGGGTGTTTTTCTTTTTTTCTCTCATCTCTTTGGACTCCTGAGAAATTATTCTGAATTTAGGGGGGTACATTGAGCACTTTTTCTGATTTAGGGGGGTCTCCAATGCAAAAAAAGCCCGCGAAAAGCCCGCGAAAGGGGGGTTCGGAAATGTTGGCAGTCCTCAGATAGGGGGTGCTTTCAAAAAGAGGGTACGAGCATATGCGTACCCTAAATAACGCTGAGTGGGGGGGCCGGGGCATTACACTTATCTCTACACTCTAAGAAAAAAGGGTGCAAAAAAGGGTGCAAAATAAGAGTTTGCACCCTTTACATAAAAATGAACCCTATTGAAGGAAGAGGGGTTCGAAAAAGGGTGCAATATAAGATTTTGCACCCTTCCCACAAAAATGAACCCTATCGACCAATAAAGGGTGCAAAATAAAAGTTTGCATATTGCATGCATATTCATGATTACTTTCCACGTGTTCACATAAAAATACATTTATCATGATTTGTTAAGCAAATTATGACAATGCACATCAATTGTGTGATTTGTATTTTCCTTTGGCAATCATTAACCAATAGATTATTTTGTCTGATCATGTTACAATTATATTCACGTTTTAGCAATATATATATATTGATTATATGATTACTAACCAATAAACATCTTGCATGTTTAATATGTATTTGTGTACGAGCAAATTTTACCAGTATTCCTCGATGATGGGTGCATGATTGCACCTTTTAAAGGGTGCAGGATTGAACCCCTAAAGGTGCTGCTATTGCATCGGTTTGCATCCCTAATGGAGCAGGATTGAACCATTAAGGGTACTAACATGTCTCATAAAAGGTGCAATCTGGCACCCTCTTAAATGGTGCAGGATTGAACCCATAAAGATGCTGCTATTGTTGCATCGGTTTGCACCCCTAAAGGTGCAGGAATTAACTATAAAGGGTGCTATTCCCCCTAAAAGGTTCAATCTGGCACCCTTTTAAAGGGTGCAGGATTTAACCCCTAAAGGTGCTGCTATTGTTGCATCGGTTTGCACCCCTAAAGGTACATACTTGCACCATTTTTTCTTAGTGTGTATGTTATATAATATCCTTCTGGCTTCAAACAGCCGACGACATTACATTCACCGAATTCCCCAATTATACCTAGATTTTGTTCCATGCTTGGTCACACCTTTGGGACAAACAGTTAACGGACATTGGGACTAGGCACTGACGCCGAAACCATTGGTCCGAAAAATCCTATTATATCTATTTAGGATGCATTTTACTCCCCCGAATTCACCCATAACCTAGATTTATTCATTGAGATAGGCGGTTCCGGAAATTGGTCATGGGCTTTGAATACATGGAGACTCTATGGTATACGTTTGATGCGCAGACATAACGGCCCGAATTCACAAAGAAGGTTTGTCGACAAACCTAGGTTTATGTGCGTCATATGACGCGTTTTGACGCGTTTTTACAAACCTTGCCATATAGTTAGATGCATAGTACAACGTCTGTGTACACGAGTCAATTGCGTGATTACAGGCGGTAATCAAGTGTATAAATTAGTTCGTGCGCCATTAATTCAAAACCATATTCACAATGCTTAATTTGCACTGCTGCTTTGTATGATCATGATGATTTCACTCTCGGTGAATTTAAAGCGGTGCTTTAAAGGTCGTGCATGTCGGTAACGCAGTCCTACTTCAGTTCATAGGGACTTTTCGATTGGCCAGTGCCTTAAAAGGACGTAGCAGTCCACTATGTCGACGTGCAAATCTAAAAATTCCCAATGCCGCTTCGAGTGCAACGGGCACATCAATGGAGACGCCAAGCCGATAGAGGCCTAAGTCACTCGTATTTGCACGGTGCCACTTGCAGAGACGCAACTCAAATAAAACATAACGCCCCACGTCGGAGTAAATAAAAAAAAGGGGGGGGCATTCTGGGTGGGGGGGGGGGCATTCTGGGTGGGGGGCATTTTTGGCGGCTGCCGGCTGGCGGCTACCTCATCAGGAAATTTCGTCTGACCTCAAAATACCCGCATTTTTAAAATGAGTGTAAGAAGTCACAACGCCCCTTTATGGAAGAAAAACCTATAAAATGGAGTGGGGAACGGAAAGCAAGAACAAGATCAGGACTAAGACCAGGACTTAGACCAGGGGGTGTTTCACAAAGATTCTAAGTCGAACTTAACTCTAAGTTGGACTTAAGTATTATGGAGTGTCATTTGTAGTCCTATAATGAAATATGTTCAAAAGCAAAAATTCAAGTATTTTAGACTTTTCATAAATTCCACATCAAGAAAATGAAATCTCCCATGATAATAGAAAATATGAATGATTTGAATCAACATTTTATGCCTTTTGAAATAACTTTTACCAAATATTTTCCAGGATGATAATTGCTTTCCATAATATTTAAGTCCAACTTAGAGTTAAGTTCAGCTTTGGATCATTGTGACCCCCCCCCCCCCCCCCCAGGGCTATGCCTACCTTGATGTTAGCAGCTTCTTTAACGGTTTCGAAGAAGAAGATGTGTACGATAAAGAGGCTTTGAGACTGCGACCAGGCCACGAAGGCGAATATGTGATTCAGAGTGTCGTCGTGAATGCAGTAATGAATGTATTTGGTCTGAATCTTCTCATCAACGCCATTGTGAGAATCTGAAGAAAGAGAAAGAGAAAAAGGAAAAAAAAAAACAATTTAGTCCTATAATACTATAATATAATAATATTTAATTTTTATATAGCGCTGAATACAAATGTCTCTAAGCGCTTTAAACATATAATATTACCCCGGTCATTGGATTCAGTGCTTGCCCGCACACACTGTGTGCACAATCTCCACTCCCTGGGGAGCATCCCAGCCAGGCGTTAAATGACGCTCAAAAACTATTATCTCAAGCATTATACATGTGCATTTAGAAATGAACCACACATGGTTACCAAGGATCGTTCATGGTAGGGCAGTTCCTCCCCAGTGAAGGAGATGTCGTGGTACAGTGGTTCATTCACTAGACTCTGAATCCAAAGGTTGAGGGTTCGAATCCCAGCTCAGAACCAACATCCTTTATATTGATTATTTACCGCTGTACCCCAAGCCGCATAACCCTGAGCGCTACCTAATTATTTGGCCGCCTGATATGATTATGAACTGGGTGATGATGTTGGAACGCCATAAGCGTCATGACGTAAAAGGCATGTACGCTTTAATAAGAAGCAACCCTTATCATCATTATTCGTCAAGCTTATCAAACTGAATAAAATTGAACCAGTGGCCTATCCAGTCATTTGCTATCCTATTAGCTGAACAGTCTGCTGTTATATCGAATTGTAATCATGACTTCTTCAGTCTAACTTGAGCTTTCGAAGATGGCCTGGCTGAAGTCTCAGATACATTTTGTCCCAGTAAAACTGAAATCATACTGCTCTATCAGTTATTCCTCTTCCTTCTTTCCAATTCCTCCCATCGGAACTTTTTTCCTGTCTTGTCCTTACTTTCATTCTATGCTTTCCTATTTTTAATGATTGTCATATCTTGAGTAGGCCTATTATCTCACGTGATTGCATGTGATGTAATTGATCCATGTTCTATAATAGGCCTAAATAAATTGAAATTGAAATGCATAACTAAATTCTGACCTATTTTAACCCTGGACTAGGCACTAATCCCATCCTTTAGTAATTTTAACCCTTATAAGTCACTCCAACCGCAACCTTATCTACTTATTTCATGTATTTCATTTGAAATATTTCAATTCAATAATAGTCCCACACAAAGCTATATCACGCTGTGTTTCAAAGCAAGCATCCCCTGTTTTGACCTATTTCTTCTTGGTCTATTTTGGTCCTCATGATTTCTAACGGGTGATTTGAAGATGGACGCAGAATATCACCATACATTCAGACCGTACACGGTCAAGGGCAAGCGCAAATAGGAGAAACGATATAGCCCGGAATCATAGTTTGCTCAAATAAAAGAGGCTGAGTTTTTGTCAAATTTGCAGTGGGGCGTAACGAGACACACCTCCACTCAAAATGGCCATTTAGAATGCACGCTATGGTAAAAAATAGTTTGTTGAATTGTGTATTATTGCTTCCTTTTACGTGGTAGTTGTGGAATTTTTAGTATTTTCCTTTTCTCTGTCGATTTATTTCATAAGAGCTTCTCTCTCTCTCTCTCTCTCTCTCTCTCTCTCTTTTTTTTTCTCTCTCTCTCTTTCTCTCTTTAGCTTAATGACTGATTTTTAAACTTCGTGAAGGAGATATAGCATTCGAAAGACCTTCTACCGGCTCCTCTATTAGGTATTTGGGCTTTTATTTGAAAGAATAAAGAAATGAACAGATGAAAACAACTATAGTGATCATCTATGCTTTTGGTATGGCAACTGTTTTATTGCTCTTCCTTCTACGTTTTTTTTTCTCTCTGCTTTTTTTGAGCTTGAGGGGGTAAACCAAACTTATTTTCATGGCCATGTTTCGTCCTATTTCAAGTTCTTCCCATACAACCCACAACGGAACCGTCTCAAGTTGAACAAGTAACAATCTATTGACATGCAATACTCGTACTACCATTGGATATGATGATAATATCATAATTTAGTAATTTACTAGTGCTAAACAAAAATTTGCAAAATAAGATTACAACATACACACTGTATTTACATTATGGTGACCATAAAGGGACAATGCAATCTACTAGAATACTCGTAAACTATATTTTGGATACAATCCTCTTGTGTTAACTCCATGAACATGAATAGAATACCTATGCCCAAATAAGACGCGTTTAAACACACACCCATATCGATAGAATACACGCGCATTGTAACGGAACCCACACATTTGGTGTCACGATGTACTTTTTGTCATCAGTTTGGTATGTACATTAACATATCAGTTCTACAAAAGAAAAACAATCAAACACAAACACAAACTTACGTCAAGGCTCCGGTCTTACGTTTCCAATAAAGACAACTTTTTAGAATATTTCGTTTTTGTTTGGAGTAAGTAATACGTCATGATAATTTAGCACATTCCACATTGTGAATGACAAGGATACTAAACACAATTCAAAGGTCTTTTCGATCGTGTTTACTAGTAGGGCATTTTTTTAGGATGTTCTAATTATAGTTCTTTGTAAATGTTGCCGAGCTAGGCTATGACAATTATGAAAGCGAAAAGGTGTGTACTTTGCTATACGGTGTACAGGTGACGGCGAAAGTAAAGGCCTATAATTAGTGTACATGTTTACAGTGAAGTAGTGGTAGTAGTGGAATAATGTATTGCTGTTGTTGGATCAGTAGAAAAAGTAGTAGTAGGAGGAGGAGGAGGGGGAGGATTTGTAGTAGTAGTTATAGCATAGTAGAAGTAGGAGTAGGAGTTCTAGTAGTAGAGGAAGCCGAAGTTGTTATGTTGCACTCCAGAAAGATTTTTGGGAATAAAATTCAATGTATAATTTACCATTCACTGAGAAGTGTACCGTCATGTAGACTCATGTTCACATTCTAACAGTATTCATGATAGGGGCTTAGAAAACAATCTGGATCATCTCGACGAAAAAGTCATCAGCAATAACTAACGCACTGTAAACAAAAAATTAAGGGGGGTTATAAACGACTCATTCGTGCTCCTTCCAAAACCTCATCGCCATACCTCATGTAGGAAACCCGAAAAATGTGCTTCTTTCACATTTCCTTTACAAAGATCATCTAAAATGCGATAACCATTTTTTGTTTCGATTGTGAGAGACTATTCAGAGTTGTGCCCCTTTTTACAAATCTGGATTAATCCTTGATTATTCAATCCGCATTAACTCTCACCATGGCTCGCGTAAGTTAAGATTCGATCGTTTCATGGAGTTAAGAAATCGTTCATTAATTTTTTAATTAACTTGTTTCCATCCATGTCTCAAAGTCCCTCTTTGTGTGTTTTAGAATAATCAATACCAAAGTCATTGTATGTGCTTCATAAATAGCTTTTGTTTTTGTTTTACAATTTTATCACAAATGACCTTTATCGGCTCATGCGCAGAGTGTATCTACGAACTGGTCTAAGTACGCATGCTTATGAACTTTGCCCTCTTGTCATAATGCGGATAATGTCAGTCAATACAGAAAAGAAAGCAAGAATAATTGTGTACCTCCTGTTAAGAAAATATTGCAAATAAATGCCTTTTTAAGGACACAATGTCTACGTACTCTAGAGAGCGAGAGAGAGGGGAGAGGGGGGGGGGGGGGGAGAGAGAGAGAGAGAGAAAGAGATAGAGTGACGACTCTAAGTATGTGCATGAATAATATTTACCCACAGTATAATGCAGTAAATGAACTGTAATGTGATTTAATTCGCTCTAATGAATTTGGAACATTATTCCGAACGAACTCGAAGATACATGACCTTGTTACATGTAACGTTAAAACACAAAATGGCTCATTCGGTAAGAGCGACATTTCACCAAAGATAAAGGGACAATTGAGTTCTATTAAAGTTGAAAGCGAGAAAATAAACTAGAAAAAGTACGAAACTTTAAAACTACTTTGATGCCATTTCACGTCACTTGTGCGTGATAGGTGCATCAGCAAGATAGAGTCATCGAGGAAAACCCTTAAACAGAAATTGATATTTCTGTTGGCAATCCCCAGACATTAGTTGTTGTTTTGTCATCATTATTATTACAATAGATAGATAATTACGTATTCTAGAATCCAGATAATTAGTGTAAAAGGTTTTTTACTACCTTGCTGTGTGATATCTCATCTAATCGTAAAAGATGATCAAAATGTCGTTAGTTTATTGTTCAAGGGGATAAAGGACTAACCCAGGCTCCCTTTAATAATCATTTTTTTCATGTTACATCCTTGAAAATGTCAAAGTTAACTGACGTTGAATATCAAATGATAAACCCATCGCAGACTGTAGAAAATTGCACTCGATAGACTTCAAATAATCCACATAAATTATCTCTACATGGGCGAGTCTTGCAGAGATTAAAGTGACAACGATTTCATTGTAGGTACGTGAATACTAAGAGTTAAGTAGGTTTATACATGATATGAAGTAACCAACGGACTTACAACTTTAATTCCTATCCGAGAGACAAGCTACTGTAATTGAGCGAGTATACCTTACCAAAAGGTATACCAAAATGGCTTTGTTTCTAAACCCAGGACAGGATTCCTTGTTATGAGATCACCGCTCTCGACTACCTCTGCGACATCACGCTCAGCTAAAGAAATCAAATAGAACGAAATTCCTCTTTTAAACGCGCATTATAAGGCCGGTACTCTTTACAGCAATGAATAGATAATGGCTCAAAAGATTCCCCTCTACAATAGCCGCCCCTCTCAGCAATTGCCATGGATTTATTAGAGCGTAAGAGCAAGAATGTTCTACTACTACTATACGGTTTCAGACTCTCTTGATAGAGACGCGGTGGTTAGAAACTCGACACGATACGGTAGAGGCCGGGTATAGAGAAGTTTTTTTTTTTTTTTTTTTTTTTTTGGGGGGGGGGGGGGGTGTAGCCCTCCCGATATTGTCAAACCCCCAAACCCCCTTCCTCTAACCCATCCCAGAAAACTTTTTTCATTATAATTGAATTTAAACGAGGCACACAAAACCTTGACAGCCCCCGAAAGCGCCCCTCCCTTAATAAAACTTTTTTT